CTTTGGTTTGCTAGTATTTTGTTAAGGATTCTCTCTTTAAGAAAAAAAAATCTCATAGATCTAAATTGTTCTCCCCTGAGCTAATTTTTACTCCTCTTTTCTTCTCATTATTCAGAATTAACCAACATTTATATTTGGTTGTGTTTTCCTCACCTTTTTTGCTGTGTCTTTGTGATCAGATAGCTTCCAAACCATACAGTGATGATGTAATACCACAAGTGGTAAATGTTTTCCTGACTTCCACCCCTTTCTGTCTTGAGCTTTTCCAACATTATTGTTCATGAGAAATTTTAATAATGTTCCTTCACAGTGGTATTTTTTTTCCTCCAGTGAAAAAGGGTAATTGGGAAAATAATGTTCTTTGACATTTCAATATTGGAGCACATGGAAAAATCAGTGCCTCGGACACCTCCACTGGCGTGTTTTTATAAGCTCTGATTCCCGTTTCATAACCTAAGGCTTTTGTCACATCCTTGCTGTTTTAAAAGTCTCCAGAAAAGGTTGTTTCTAAGGATAGCAAGACTTGGCAAAGGACAGTTCTGTGATCTTGCTCTTTAGCCATGGTTTTTTCCAGTCATTGGATCAGGGAAATACAGATTATTTGTGGAAACCGGGTAGAGTCAATACGGTAGACTAAGCTAACTCAGAAAAGACCTTTCCAAACACACGGAAGTGTTGGGTGAAGGAGAAACAAAGGCAGGCTTTCGATACATAATTAAGCTCAAAAGAAAGACGAGGACATCCAGGTACCAAAAACAGAGACATCAAAGCCAGCAGAGAAAGAGAGAACTGAAGCTGAGGAGGCTGCGTGGGAACATCAGGCCACACACAGGGCCCAGAGGCAGGAGTTTCAGGGGTTAATACACGGAGAGGAGATAAGGCCTCTGTCCCATATGAAATAGAACAGAACCCCATGCATCAAGCTGCAAATTTTGTAGGGGTGCCATTTTAGTGAAACAGAAACTAGAAAAATTTTACTCATTAGACTGATAAAGAAGCAACGAATCGTACTATGTGCCCAGGGAAATGGATGCAAGAAAGAAATACCCACTAGAAGTTGGAAGCCCAGGTTTATGTATGAGGTCCAATTTTAGATGGTTGCCAATGCTACAGGAACCCCAAACTAAGGTATTAATATAAAAGTTGATGATACCCCTAAGTCCCTGGCAGAGGTGAAAGAAAACTCATTCTGAAGAGCTAGAGCACATGTAGGAAATAAATCATGATGAGACAGAGTCACTGGGTACCAGTGTAGGAAAATTAGCTCCCCAAGAACTGGAGATGCAAAGAACGTCTGAAAGTCTATAAAATACTGATGAAAGAAGAATCAAAGAGCAAGAGGAGGACAGTATGCAAGAACAGGAGGATTTGGAAGAAAAATAAAACATATAGACATAAAAAGTATAATGATTTAAATTAAAACATATTGGATAGTCTTAAAATAGGTTAGATAAAGCTGAAGGGATAAAGGAAAAGGAAAATGCAGAGGAGATTCCGGGATGTGGAAGAGAGAATGAGCTAGATACGTAGATATTGCAGATAGAGGCTGCAGGAGAAGCACAAATCCTGAATGGGAGAGAGGCAGGATTCCCAGTGTTTTCCGTAAGTGAGGACAAATAAACCCTCAAGGTATTGTAGCTTGTCAGGCCTGAGCACCTGAGCAGGATATAAAAACAAATCTGGACCTAGTCCTGCTAAGCGTTGTCGTGAAAACGCCGACAGTCGGAGAAGGGCTGTGGCACGGAGTCCCTCTCAAGCAAGGAATCGAGTTTTTTATAGTATCTCATTGTAAAAAAGGAAGAGAGAAAAGCATGAGCGGCTCCCCAAGGGAATGAGGCGGCGCCTGCCCAGCACAGAAGGCGGGGGCAGGAGCCCTGGGGGAGCGCGTGTGACCCCTCTAGAGTCACCTGACACTGCGGAGTCCCTGTTTCCTCACCTGCACAAGGAGAGGCCTGCACGTGTGACTTCAGCGATCCCTCCCGCTTCCGTGGCTCTGTGATACTCTAGTAAGCCACAGAGCAAGGAGGAGCTTCTGGACGGCTGGGCGGAGGAGGGGCGCGGGGCAGAGCCCAGCCCTGAGTCCTCCCTGCGTGGGGCTGGCCGGGGAGCTGCCCGGTTGGCAGTGGGAGGGGCCCCTCTGCGCATGCCCGGCAGTGCGCGCCGTGCAGGAATCTGGCCGATGCTGGGCAAGCGCCACATGGCGAGGACAGTCCCTTAGTTTCACTTGCCACATCCTGAAGGCTGACAGCACCGGGAGCTGTGGACGGCAGGGGACAACAGCTACTCAGAGGGACAGGCCACAGGCTCGCTCCGTGGGCGTCTGCGCGTCCCTGCAGTCCAGGGCAGCTGCTCAGCTGGGCCTGGGAGTTCATTCTGTTCCGTGGGAGAAAGGTGAAGGGAAACGAGTACGAAAGGATAGAAAAAGTATTTCCCTTCCTCAGCCATCAGATGTTTTGCCAAGCTTAGCTGGCTGAGGCTCACCTTGAGTTGGTGATGAGGTAAACATTGTCATTTCAACCAAGACAATCTAAGTGAACTTTAGCTCAAAGAGCCGTAAAGAACACCCAGGGCCTCCCTCCTCTCTCCAGGGCCCTGGGAGAGCTGGGCGGGCTCTGGGTCCCCAGGAAAGGGCATCCTTAGGCTCAAGGCTCGTAGTCAGAGGGGGGTGCCTGGGATTGCAAGTGTGGCGCCCCCGTGCAACCTCACAGGTGCTCACATTCCCACAAACGGATTAGGGCCGTATTCGTCTGCTCCGGCTGCTGTAACCAAGTGCCACAGACTGGGGGGCTTAACAGAAGTTCATTTGCTCACAGTTCCGGAGGCTGGAAGTCTGAGATCAAGGTATCTCTAGGGCTGGCTTCTCCTGTGCCTCTCTCCTTGGCGTGAAGACGGCCGTCTCCCCTGTGTGCTCACAAGGTCTTCCCTCTGTGCTTGTCGCTGTCCTAACCTCCTCCTCTAATGAGGACTCCAGTCATACTGGATTGGGGCCCACATTAATGACCTCATTTTACCTTAATTACCTCTTTAAAGACCCCATCTCCAAATATTGTCCCATTCTGAGGTACCAGGTGTTAGGGCTTCAGCAGGTGAATGGGGTGGACACAGTTCAGCCCGGGCACCAGCGCACTCCCCGACACTGAAGCCTCACGGGGGCAAGCGAGATGGCACCCTGACACCGAGAAAACAGAGCGCTCTGGCCTGCCTGGGCAATTTTAAGCACTCCCTTTTGGTTTGTAAAAATAAACAGGTATCCTCCAGGACAGCTCCATATTTCTTCACAGAAGTGGCAACTTCGGAGGGAAAACTTTCAGGAAAGGCAGGGAGAGCATCTAGTGCTTATGTTTTAGAAAAGAAAACTCACCTTGATTTTCCTTGGTGTTCAAAATCAGCATCATGTTCTGCAGAAAGCAGCCAGCCTCCAGCGGGAGTCCTGCCCCATGCAGGGTCTGGGGCTGCAGGTGGGAGCCAGGCTCTAAGACATGCACTGTGGAAACAGATCGCTCCTCGCAGGAGAGCTGTGGGAAGCCTGGGGGTCCTGCCAGGTATGAAAAGGGCACTTGTAGTACACGTCAGTGGGCAGGAAGGCAGCACTCAGAGGGAGAGTGCAGGACGGAGTGGAAACAGAGCACCTTTCAGAGGAGGGAGCCAGCAGCAAGGGGCGAGACAGCGTCTACTGCAAGTAACAAGCAGCCTGGGAAACTGAGCCTGCTTTGATGTGGGGAGGCTTCCCCCACCCCAACACACCCCGTCTGTCTGTCTGTCTCATTTCAAAACTTGAGTTATTCACAAGTCCCTTTGTGATGCGCTCAGATGTGTTTCAGTGACCCAGAAACTGACCATTTGCCTTACCTGCAGGCTGAACGAGCGGGACCGCCTGATAAAGAGGCTTGGCCGGAAGACGCCCCCGACCCTCTTCCGCGGCAGCTCCATCCAGCAGTCCGTCCCCCGTAAGTAGCCACTGTCAGCCGGTTCAGGACAGGGACCCTGGCCAGCAGCCCAGGCGGCAGTGCTAATGGGGACAGAGCCAGCACACACTTTTGGAAGTAGAATGTGTTGTGGGCCCCAGGCAAGTGCAGCTTGAATATAGGGAATTCCCTGGGACCTGGGCAGATACGCGAATAACAAAATCCCTAAACTTAAAATCCTGATGTGGTCAAGATCGTTCTGTCAGCCTCCCGAGAGGATTTTTTTTAAGGTTGAAGTGATACTACTTTTAAATTGATGCCCCTAAAGGTAGCAATGCAAACTGTTTTGTGTAAATTGGCATATTAATTAAAACAATGATAATCAATGGGAGAAAAATCTCTGTGCTTTTCCCAGGAGGGCTGCCCCAGGTGTAGGGTGGCATCTCCCACCCACCTCCAGACGCGGGGGTGGACACACAGAGGCTCTGAAAGTCACCCGCCCCTTTGTTCAGCAATCCAGCCATGTAGCTCCCAGCTGGCGGGGAGAAGGGGGTCCAGGCCTCCTCCAGCCCCCTCCCCCTTTCCACGTGAACATACTGTCTCTTCCTCCCACACCCCACCCCTGATTTCCCTTCCCTTCCTGAGGAGTTTAGAAGGAAACAACTGGTTAAAAAAAAAAAAAAAAA